TACAACAATGGGTGAGGTAACCTTGGTGTCCTTTATCTATAAGATGGCACTAGTACTGATTCCATAGGCCATTTTTGAGGACTAGTCAAGAGACAAATCTAGAATGCAGACTGCATGGACCCAACTCAAGGGAGATGTTCACTAAGTAATACTTGCTGCTATGATGGTGCCTGTGAAGACAAGATTAATGCCAGAAGGCAAAAGAAGAAAAGCAACAAAATTAGGAGAAAGCCATTACTAGCCACATTAGTTCCTGCTGTTTCCCTCAAGAGTTCTACTTCCCATGACTTTTACCTCACCCTCTTGTCTCTCTTCTACTGTCAGCCTTCAGAAACTAGGGCTTGAAGAGCCATTTCTACTCTACAGCAGCAGCACCACTTCCTGTCCACACAGAGTTCTTCCCTACCAGGACATGCTCCATGCCCTTCGAGAATGAGGCCTAGAGCGCTGCAGTGTTTTACAGTGTGGCCACTAGCTACTGGATAGGAGCTTGGTACCCTGCATTCCCTCATTCTCTCTCACTTACAAATTACAGTAGAAGCAAAGCTTTCGATTGTGTCTACAATTAAAGAAAAAGTCATAAATTTGAAAGGGTAGGGGAGACATGGACGAGTTGGAGGGGGTAGAAATGATGTAAATGCAGTGCTTATGTATGAAATTCTCAAAAAAAAGAAAGAATTTTTACACATACCTATGGAAAACATGTCTGTATGAGTTAGGGATGGATAACCCCTTAGTAGTAGGATTATAGGATTATCTTTATAGAGTCCAGTGTGACTTTTGATACATGTATACATCATACAATAATCAAAATAGAATTCTTAGCATACCCATCACCCCATTAATATTTCCTTGTAATGAGATTTTTAAAAAATCTCTCGTCTGTATCACATACTTGAGTTGCTGAACGTGGGGAAATCCAGCTGGTGCTCAACTGGAAGCTTCCTCTCTACTGGTGGCTTTCATAGTGCTAGTCTTGTAACTAGCTATATATCCACCATACTCCACGTAGGCCCCATGCAGGAGTCATCAGCCAACACAGGGCACGCATGCACATGAAGTTGGGTGGGTAGGGAAGTGGTGAGGATCTGGGAAAAGTTCAGGACAAGGACTAATATGATCCAAATACATCCATGACATTCTCTAAGAGTTAATAAAAACAGTATTTTAAAAAGCCAAATGTGAAAAATTATGTCTCTTCTGATTATTTCAAACTATATAATACATTACTGTTAACTATACTCATACTCCTGGGCAGTAGAAAACCAAAAGGTTATTTATTTTTAAAAATTTAATTCAGTAATAGCGGGTTCTTAATCTCATGTTTTCATCTGTAAAATGGTAATAATGCTGGTTACAAGACTAGCATTTAGATATTTAAAAACTTTGCATGTTTTACAATGTCATCTATAAACTTTATCATGTTATCTATATACTCATCAACACCAGCCCAAAAGTACTGCTGAGTTCCGGTACTCCTACATAGGGTAGGCCAGGTGGCAACTACAATATTAAAAGCATGGTGCCAGGCGAAGTGGCACAACCTTTAATCTCAGCATTCAGGGGCTGGAGAGCTGGCTTGGTGGTTAAGAGCACTGGTTGCTCTTCCAGAGAATGCTGGTTCATTTCCCAGCACCCACATGGCAGCTCATAGCTGTCTTTAACTCTAGTCCCAAGGGGTCTGGACTCTGTAGGCACTACATGCATGTACTGCACAGATATACATGCAGACGAAACACTCATCCATAAAATAAATAAGTAAAAAATAATAATAATCTCAGTATTCTCACTTGGGAGACACCCTCACTTTAGAGGCAGGGGCAAGCAGATCACTGGGAGTTGGAGGCCAGCCTGGTCTACATAGCAAGTTCCAGGACAGCCAAAGATAAAAGAGAGACCCTGGCAGATGGGGGAGGAAGAGACAGAAAGAGAGAATAGCTGTGAATACAAATGTAATTCCTGGCTTACTAGCTGTGTAGCCTTGGGCAAATTCTCAGCCTTTCTAAACCTGTTTCCTGGCCTGTCAAATGGAAATAACAATATCTAGCTCAAGAGCCATTGTAAGGATTAAATGAGTTAATATATTCAATGTGTAATGAAAGATTATAAACTATTATTGTTGTCAGCAGTTATATTACTGTTGTAAGAATAATTTGTATTACAGAGCAAATGGATTAAAATAGAAAGGAAAATAAATAGACTAGATAGTAAAGAAAAACATTAAGCATAAATAAATGAGATGAACTTGAGAATGGGGCGGTTAGGGAAGCCTCTATGAGCCCTCTGGGAGGCTGTGCCTCAACAGAGCTGTGCTTACTTCAAAGCAGTCCACTGGCCGTAGGACCTCACTGAAGCTAGAGGATGAGATCTCCAGAATTGAAGGCTTTGCCTACAGGGAAAGGGTAGCACTCCTGCTGGGCAGTGGGGTAGAAACCAGACAACCAGAACAACCTAGGGAGAGTTTAGGGTTGCTGCCCCAAGAAAGCCCCCAGCCAGTAGTGGCTGTACCACCTACTGAGCACTTACTGGCTTGGGATGGTAACAGAGGCTTCACCAATATTATTTTACTTAGCTATCACACTGCCTACAAAGGAGAAACTGGTTCCCCTACTACAGATAGGAAAATGGACTCTCTAGTTGCTTAATTACTTCAGGGTCATATAGATAGAATGTAGGTTTGCTTCACTCTTTTTAACCACAACTCTGTAGACAGATACCTTCTAACCATAAGGCCTTAAACAAGTGGCAACTACATTGAAACTCAGTTGTCTCGTCTGCAGCTTTGCATGGTGGTTGTTATATGGACTAATTGAGAAATATATTTAAAGTGCCTGGCATGTAATAGATATCCAAGAAATTTTTGTTTCTTTCCCAAATCTCAGTTTCCCACAGAAAGTGACTAGAGAAAATCATTTCATATTTCTTGGACACTGTTTTATTAGTGACAACTATAATTTTAACTAAGAGTTTATGAATCGCTTACCTTGCATGTCTGCCACCCCATTAAGGTGCCGCATAGGCCTGATGCTCCAGCCTCCTGGTCTGTTTTGCTACCTAATACATCTTCCCGCCTGTTCTCACAACTCTGGCACTAGTATGATTTTGGTTTCTCACAATAAGCATCATATTTACAAACCACAAATAACAAAGTAGAAGATGCTGTAAGAGCTCTGGCATGTTAATTAAGAACAATAGCAGAAGCAGCTGGGCAGAAAATGCCAAAGAGTCAGAAGCAGAGGCAGCATAGCTCTGTTTATTGACAGAAGCCATTGCAGTATTGTACGTTAATTGGGGAAATAGGTAAACATTTGCCAGCAGCTTGCCCTCCCAGTGCATTGGAAGACAGACAGCAAGCTAGGCCTTCCCTTCCCCCTTGCCTGCCCATCTGCCCAGCACTCAAGAGATACTAGTAGGGCAAGATTTGCCCTGGGTTCCTTATAAGCAGAAAGAATTCTTCAGGTAGGTGTGTCTCCTTAATGACCCTCCTGAGTATACCAAGTCTCTACCTGAATACACTAAGCCAGTGTTTCCCCCATTAGCTTACCAGCCTGTCTTTGACACCAGGGCTTCCCTTCTCCAGCTGGAAGAAGAAAGCAGAGTCATCTCATTATGAGTGGCTTGAGTTGAGCAGACAAATTGCCTGCCTGTAGTATTTGCCCAAGGCCCCAAATGGCCAATAGCAGAGCAGCAGCTCCAGGTATAGCTAGAGTACCTAACCATCCACTACATACTCAGAGCAGCCCACTGCCCACATTGTCCATCTCCCTTTGTAGTTGCTCTCATGTGTAGCATATTTTGTTGATCTGCTCTATGCCAGACACTGTGCTAATTATGTTTTTTCCCATTTAATTTTGATCAATCCTACAAGACAAGAGCCACAAAGCTAATAGCCAACACTATGATTTAAACCAGAGTCTTCCTATTTTCTGGGGGCTGGAGAGATGGCTCAGTGGTTAAGAGCACTGGCTGCTCTTCCAGAGGTCCTGAGTTCAATTCCCAGCAACCACACGGTGGCTCAACAACCATCCGTAATGAGATGTGGTGCCCTGCATGCAGGTGTATATGCAGGCAGAACACTGTATACATAATAAGTAAATAAATCTTTAAAAAAATAAAAATAAAAAATAAACCAGAGTCTTCCTATTTTCAAAGCCTCTGTGCTTTCCACTAACCTAGTATTTTTCAGCCTTGAAAAACTCATGGTCCCTTTTAACCATGTTTCTTTCTCTTAGATTTTTTAGGTGAAGACCTCTGCCCTGGCTTGGGGAGGGCAGCGATCTAATAAAGATCTAGCTTTACAAAGTTCAGTAGTTGTTATTTTTGGTTTTGGTTTTTTGAAACAGGGTTTCTCTGTGTATTCCTGGCTGTCATGGAACTTGCTCTGTAGACCAGGCTGGCCTTGAACTCAAAAATCCACCTACCTCTGCCTCCTGATTAAAGGCATGTGCCACCACTGCCCAGCATTTTTTAAAGTTTCTAAAATGTAGGTATATTATGTGGTTGCCTCATTTTCCCAATGAGGATATTGTGCCATGTCTTCCTAGGGAGCTCCCTGGGATAGCATCATCTCTGGATACAGTAGAATGGCCATTCCATAGTTTGCTATATGTAATTTTAATGGAAGAGCCTAGCCCTTGTCCCTCCAAAGGTTTAGTTGTTGTCCCAGTCAGCAGAGTAGGCCTCCGTGCTACCATCAGTTAACCAAGTCGAGGTCTCAGGCATGCCATTCCTCTATTTAACCAGCTAAATGTATCTGCCTGTGTCTTTCACAAGGGATCTATCCAGTAGACTTGAGGTCAGTACTACTAACTCTTCTACTAGATGGAACTGTAGAATATGACCTTTCTGAGAACCCACCACCACCACCACCACCACCACCACCACCACCACCACCACCACACAGAATTGTTTTTAATCCAATAAGATACTGTGCACATGCTCATGCTGAAAGTCAATGTGCTTGTTCCAAATTTCTGAATGTGTGTTTTCTTTCTTTTCAGGTAACTCAGCTAGACCCCAATAAGTCATTATTGGAGGTAAAGTTGTTCCCTCAAGAAACCCTTTTCCTTGAAGCAAAGGAGTAAACATGACTCAGCGGTGGAAGCAGCCACTTCTGACAAGCCAGTGGCACATGTCAAGAGATGAGCTCCTCACCAACCCACCCACATGCTCTTCTCACTCACTTCAATGTCACACTTCTGCCTCTTGCAAGATTGCTGGAAAAAAGTAATAAACATAGCTACTTAAAATTTCCCATCCATGAGTGTATGTTCCCCACCCCTCCTGATGGAGTTCTGTAGCTCCATTGCCCTCTCCTGATACCTGCACTTTCACCCTTGTTTAATAACTAACGTACTGTTAAGTGTCAGTGACCCCTGGTAGAACTTTTACCTCTCGAGTTCCCACCTTTCCCCTTCAATGTCCAGGATAGTTCTCTTTGTCCTTGACATCAGAATGCTGTGTATTTGATATGTGTCATTGAGCCAGGGCTCATACCTCTGCTTTTTTATGCCCATAACTAGATTTTAAGTTTATCACCTAATTTTAAAAGGCAGCAAACAAAAGTCAATTAGGACATTCTTGGCCTGGAGTTTAGACATTTTGGGGTAGGGAAATATATCATATATCTGACTCCTTTACTAAGACGTGAGTTTTTGTTGGAGGACTGATTTGACATATATGAAAAGTATTTATTATATACTGCTGTCATGACCTCCATATTCCATCTTGGAGGAATTTTTTGTTTCATTGCAGCCTGGGGAACTGATCAAGTACACAGTGTGTTGAGGTAGTATGCAGAGACTGCCAGTACTAAGACTTGCTATTGGCCAGCTGTGGGAAGCTGTTACTCAGCTTACATTGAGGCATTTAGAATTTCCCAGGTACCTGCTACCAAGTTGCTGGCACATCAGTGTACACCACACACAATTCTCCTGCTTTTCCTCCCTCTTCTACTTCATACAGCTGTCACTTGGTGGGGTGTTTGTTTCCTTTTTTAGGCTTTTGGGGACCAGATCTCACTATGTAGCTCAGGCCTCAAACTTGCAGTCATCTACTTCAGCTTCCCAAGTGGTAGGATAACAGGCATGCCCCATAATACCTGGCCATCACTTGGTGTTTTAAACACCTTCTCTATTGCCAAAATCAGCTGCCCTGTGGAGTCTCCTGCAATAAGGGACTTGCTCTATAATTTTAGTTTTTGGATGTTTTAATATTAGATATTGGATTTATATCCCAAATAAAAGGTATCTCATCCTTTGGCTAAAAATTCAGACTTCATATATTTAAGAGAGCAAATTTGGGGGCTTAGCCTAGAATTCATGTGTTGCCTGAATTGATATGTAGTAATCTGGGGTTTGATTTGTAGATGTGGACTTCGTTAATCTATGGATTTAGGATTTGGGGTAGTTCATAAGAATATTTATATCTTCACAGCCAAACAAGTTCCTTTTAGTCTTGAAATGTTCTCTATGGAGGTTTTTGTATCATCTCTAGTCTTTATCTTTAGAGCTGGCCTCCCAGTCTGGTTATTTTGTAAGTGTGTTAGGTGTGTTTCCCTGGTTCCATTATGGGGTTCTGAGAAGACTTAACCAAAGCTGAAGATATGTCTGGTCACTTTTCCCTCTACTCAAAAAGTATTGGCCTGGAAAAGTCACCTGTTTTCCTCTGATGCTCAGCCAAGAACGTTCCCTGAAAACTCTTCTGAGGGATTGTTGCTAATGCCACTACGCTTCATCCGCCAACTGCCTGAGAAGAAGGGAGCTGACTGTGAAGGGAGTTCCACCTAAGCACTTTCTCTCCAGCTCTGCTCCTTCCTTCCTTCCTAATCGAGTGGCACCACAAGCTGACATTTCCGAAGCTGCAGCTGTACTAGGGCACCAGCTCTTTTTCCAGCTAGACCTTGTTCTGTAGCTGCTGTGAGAAGCCACGGCCCTGAACTCAAGCCATACTCAGAAACAGCAGCCAGGGTATGGGCAGGGGTTTGAGAGGTCTCTGAACTCACTCTTATGTTTAACCTGTTCCATCTGATCTGGATTTGACTTCATTATATGATTCCCTACCATTCCTGTTTACTTCTGTATACCAACATATAGACTTTACTCTGAAACCAATTTCCTAAACCTTATTAAATGTTACTTGAATGTGTGTGAAACTGAGAAGCCCTTTTTCAGTCCTGCCTTGGAAAGTTTTCTCTGTCTAACCGGCTCAGCCTCCTGAACTCTTATACTACAGGCCCTGTTATTGTTGGAAGTCTGGTCAGTTGAACTCCAGAAAAGGAGAGAACATTTGATACCCTCTCATACAGGCACCATACTAAAGTGACTTGCTACCATCACAAAATCAGCAGTGTCTTTTACGGTCTTCTTGACCTTAGACTTCCTTGCGCTGTGCATCCCAGACTCCAGATACTGAGTGAGGCCATCAATATATTCTTTGCCTGCTGCTTACAGTGACCTCCGGGATGCCTTGTCATCCCCCATTCTAGGTCACTGTCCTATGTTCTTGAATTATCATTTGTGTCCTTGAAGAATTTGTTTAAAGGGTTGAGGAAGCAATGCCAGTGTCCTGTTGCCTTTTAATGGTTGCCAGTTTTTTGGAAGTCTTGTGGTTTAGAAGGCCACCGTGATCTGACCCTGTTAGTTTTATGAGCCATACAGGTAGGTGTTCATCTGAATCAAAAGCATTCACGGCCTCAGTTGGATGGGAGCATTCTTGCGGAGTCTTTCTAATAATACAAGGGGTGAAGAGTTATGGTTTTGTAGGTGGTGTTTAGCCAATGGAATTAAAATACATTACCTTTGTAGTTGCATTAACACTAGATGTACTGATCTGGGTATGCCAGGCAGCAGGCTAGATTTCAGAGACTGCAGAGCTCTGACACATTTCCTCATAGGATACGGGAGAGAATCTTACCTGTCTGCATTTGCATGTCACTGACTGATATACTTCTGCCCAGTTCTAGATCCCACAAGTGGATAGGACATAGTTCTAAATTCAGTCCAGAAATAACTAAGGCATTGCATTTACATCTGTGTAACCTTTAACACTCATCTCTCACATGGTCATCTCAACATTCTTGGGAGGTAGGAGGTTTTCCCATATGCATACACTTTAGAGGCTTCGTCCCATTTTAGCCCTGGCTCTGTCATGTAGTAGCTGTATGACCAGAAAATGAAGAAATTCTCCGACCCTCTGTTCCAACAGCATTCAAATAGCACTTTGCAGTTCACCTCACCTTCCATATTTGTCCTCAGTCCACTGCTGTGAGTGAGCCAGAGATGATCATTCCAGTTTTACGTAAGATGCTCAAAAGGCTACAGCTTGGCTTATGTCCTCATCATCTTAGCAAAAAGATCAAGACTCAAGTCCTGGCCTCTTGATTTTCATTGTTCTATAGATTGTCTACATTCTCCCCAGGAATAGCTCTTGGAATCCTCTTTTATATGCAGAAGTTAAGTGTGTGTTCCTCTGGAAAGGGAATCTATATTCATCAGATTATTAATGGAATCTGTTAACCAAAAAAAAAAAAAAAAAAATTGAAGAACCACCATTTGCATTGAGCAAACAGTATCAGACCAATTTCAATGTTGAAGCTGTGTGGTTTTCTTTTATCAAGCCACATTTTTTATCTAAAAGAAGCTCCCAAAGATGGTTAAATGTAGCCAGTCAGTTCTCTTGCCTTGAACTTCCCTCTGCATTGAGTAGCTCTAGATTTTCTCAGTCAGCTTTGGAAAACAGTAAGAATCCTTACTACTCACTGTTCCCTTCCACTGACAGGGTTTCACTGTTTAACCCAGGCTGGCCTGGATCTCATACAGATCCGCCTGCCTCTGCCTCTGTGCTGAGATAAAGGTGTGCACTCAGCTTCCACTACACTTTGAAATCTTTTTTTTTTTTTAATTTTTTATTTCAGACAGACTTTGGACACTGTCCTGGAACTAGCTCTTGTAGACCAGGCTGGTCTCAAACTCACAGAGGTCTGCCTGCCTCTGCCTCCCTACACTTTGAAATCTTATCTGACAGGAATTACGATTAAAAGAAACCTGATCTTTTTTTCAGTCTCTTAACTCTTTTTCACAATTTGTTAGTTCTTAGTTTTACCAAGTAGTATTATGTGCCTAAGAGCCCATCTTCTGAAGCCAGATTACCTGGGTGCAGGCACCAGCTCCACTCATTAACCAGCCCTATGCCTTGGGGAAGTCACCTCATCTTCCTTTACCACAGCTTTTCAGCTATAACTGGGGAATTGCTAACAGTAACTTGTTGATAAGGTCTTAGGAAATTTCAGTAAAGCAGTTGGAACAGCTATCATCTGCCCTGTAGACCCAGGGTAGAGGATTATAATAGTGTGTGGTGGCTGTGAGAAATGGCAGTTTATGGAGAACGACGCAGAAGACAGAACAAAAGGCAGCCCAGGAGCTCCTTCATTCCAGAGCCGTAGGAAAAGTTGGCATTGGGATGAAGTCAGATATTCAGCACTCTACAAACCTTTCTTCTAGCCTCACAACAACCTGTGGGTAGATATTCTAAACCTCCTTCATACAGGAAATAAGTTCAAAGCAGTTGTCTCAAGCCCCATAGGCATTAAGAGGCTGGGCAGATTTCTGCATCTGTCCCTTTGACCCTGAACCCATGCATGTCTGCAACAGTGCAGTGATGCCTTCAAGGAAAGTACAACCACACTACCAAGACTTTCTGATCATAAAGTGGGGTGCTAGCAAAAGGGAAGCCATGTTTTTACTAGACAACTTGGCTCTCCATTTGACTCCTAAAGTTCCTAGTGCTACATGACATGGAAATGTATCAGGAGCCAGGATCTAAGCAATATTTAATGCATATGGGACTCCAAAATCCACTCCCTCATCTCCCATCCTGCCACGGTGTCTTCCCTTCAGAGTTTCATCATCCGTTTAAGACTACAATTACATCCTAATTTGTCCTCCATTTCTCCAGTCCACTCTCCACACCACTGCCAGAAGGTTCTCACACTTGCTCACCTTGTCATCTTCCTTGCCTCAATCCTCTCAAACACTTCTCTGTGCCTTCCAAATGAAACCATAATTCTTGTTTTGGATTGAAGCCCGTCACCTGCCCCGTCTCCTTTCCCGCCTGTACCTCCACGCATGCCCTCAGCACACAGTGATTGAAGTGGTTTTCCTGACTGTTCCAGCTTTCTGTCGTCTTTGCCTTGCACAGTACTGCCTTCATAGACTTCTGTCAGCCTCCAGCCTTTACTTCCCATGTAGACTTTGCCTCCTCTGAGACGCATTCTTTACCATTGTCTCATGCCACAGGTCAAATGCCTGCGCTGTCAATCTCTGACCTGGTGCTGCCCTTTTCATTGTGCTGGGACTTTCCAACTGTAATTCAGTTCATGACCTTCCTCACCCTGGTTGTGAGCCCCTAAAAGACCAGAGTCACGTCAGATCCTCAGGATCTAGCAAAATGACCCCCATACAACAAGCACATCACAACTGAATATATTGACTGAATTTGAACAGAGATGCTGGCATCAAAGTACTAAAAGATAGTCACTTCCATCCCTGACCTCCAACTCATCTAGTGATGTTGAAAGGCCAAGAGATTACATCTTGATCTTTACTTCCAGAGCCAGCCCAGGGTCTGCCACATTGCACGTGTGTGCCCAGTGATTACTGACGCAAAGCCAACTGTTTATTAATGAAAGAAAAAAAAGTAAAGGAATTGGTGTTGAGTCCCTAGGTCAGCACAGCGTGATGCTGCACTGTTCTTCGACTTACCCGGTGAATAGAATAAAAACTGAGGTTTGGAGAGCCGAATCACCATCCAGAGACACGTAACTAACAGAGAGAGGAAAGGGCTTTGGACCCACACGTGCCCTGACCACACTCCTATGCTGTACTTCATTGGTGAGCGCCCTCCCTGGCTGCTTTGACATGTAGAATTTCAGAGCCCCAGGTAGGTTGACAGTTAACAGTGTCACAAGCTCTCCTAGTTTTCCTACCTGTATCTGGCTCATAAGCAGGGCTCATCGGCCCTGCATGCCCTCAGTGATAGAAGTTCCTTATTCGCCTTACACTCCTTCCAAACTTCCTGGATAAGAGAGTGAGTGAGGAATAAACTTGTTTTATTGCCCAGTACAGGCCTGCTACTGTTGTAGGTGCTTGCAAGACAACTGGTGATAGTAAAAGGACTACTTAAGCATTGTCTATTAGATGCCGGACTTTGTGAGATTTAATAATATTAACTCGTTTGTTCTTTGTATTGTTTTCTTCACTGGTGCTCAAACCAAGGCCCAGGAGGTTAGGTCATTTGTTCAAGGTCACACACAACCAGTAAGCCAAGGAGCCAGATCAAATACAGAGCTTAGGCCAATACTGCACTGCTTATGTAGTAAGATCCTGGAACCCACAGCACAAGGCAGGGGCCTCTTCAAATTGCTGTGTTTCCCTGGCAGAACAGGTATCCCATTATTACGGTTGTTTGCACAGAAGTCTTTTCCACGGGGCTGTCACAGATCTGCACCTGTGGGGTCTGGCACAGGGCACTGACAGTAAATGTTACAACTGAATCACAGACTACCCTATGAGGAGTAACACACAGTCCCTGTTCCATGCACTGAAGTCTCTGAGCCTCTATGCCATATACCACTGACCTATACCTAAGCCTGCCTCCACAGCAAGTATTTGTTCCAAAATGGTTCACCACACCAGCATTTATCTTATGGAAATGAAGTTAGCCTTGGCTTGCCCACTTATTGAAGCCTTCTTACAAACTTGATTCTCAGTCCCTACCCTTAACCTAAAATCCCCAGACAGAAGTGGTATGGAACAACCAATCTTAGTGCTAGAGAGTTCCCAGAACTACCGAAACCCAAAGTCTCCCCTCCCCCATGCTGGAGAGTCAAAAACTGTTTCTTGGGTAATTCTCATCAGGGAGTATGGTGAACCTGGCAGTCTGAGATCCCAGAATTAGCAAAGGGAGGTAACTACAGCATTGGGATGGAGCCTGCCTTCTGGATACAGGTGTCCAGGCCCTGCAAATGTTACCTGCCTCCCATGGGCACACACTAGTAACATTTGCATAAGGCTTTTCTGAGAAGATAGCAATAGCAAGCCTTACTGAAACTTTCTTTATGTTTCGGGGGTCAGAAGGAGCAGCCAAGAACTTGCT